GGGTCGCTATGAGTCAGAAATGACTCGACGGCACCTAACACCATCAACAACCATTACTGTTGATGGCAAATTCCTTTGGCATCAGGATTGGAGGAAGACTCATTAACAACTGTGATATGCAGATAATACAACTTTGCTTGCTGAAAGTGAGGATGACTTGAAGCACTTACTGATGAAGTTTAAAGATTCCAATCTTTAAAGTCTTTACACTCTGCAGTATGGATTACATCTTAACAAAAGTAAAATGAGAATCCTCACAACTGGACCAATAAGCAGCATCACAATAAATAGAGAAAAGATTGAAGTTGTGAAAGGTTTCATATTACTTGGCTCCACAATCAACACCAATAGAAGCAGCAGTCAAGACATCCGATTACATATTGCAGTGGACAAATCTGCTGCTTAAGACTTCTTTAAAGTGCTGAAGAGCAAAGATGTCTCTTTGAAGACTAAGGTGCACCTAACCCAAGTTGTGTTATTTTCAGTGGCCTCATATGCATGTGAAAGCTGGACAATGAATAAGGAAGACCAAAGAAGAATTGATGCTTTTGAGTTGTGGTGTTGGGAAAGAATACTGAAAATACACAGACTGCAAAAAGAACTAACAAATCTGTCCTGGAGGAAGTGCAACCAAAATGCTTTTTGGAGGGGAGAATGGCCAGACTTCGTCTCACCTACTTTGGTCGTGTTGTCAGAAGGGACCATTCCCTGAAGAACAATATGCTTGGTAAAGTGGAGGGTCAAAGAAAAAAGGGAAGGCCTTCAATGAGATCTATTGACTCATTGATTACTGGCTGCAATGATGGGCTCAAGTATAGCAGGGATTGTGAGGTAGGCACAAGACTGGAGAGTGAGTTGTTCTGTTGTACATAGGGTCACTATGAGTTGGAACTGACTCGATGGCACCTAACAACATAAACAACTATATACTGTGGAGTCATATATTTCTCTTTTCAATTCTGTTAAAGTATAATTTATGTATTTTAGGGTTCTTTCATTGGGTGCATACATATTTATTATGGTTATGTCTTCTCGTTCCATTGATCATTTCATTGTTATATAGTGTCCTTTCTTATCTCTTATCATCATTTTTGTCTTAAAGTCAATTTTATCCAAAATAAATATTGCCATTCCTGCTCTTTTTTTTTTAATTAAAATTTGCTTCCTACATCTTTTTTAAACCTTTTATTTTTAGTCTATTTTTCTCTTTGTGTCTAAGGTGATTCTCTTGTAGTCAGTATATTGATGGGTTATGTTTTCTTATCCAGTCTGCAATTCTCTGTCTCTTGAATGGTGCTTTTAATCTATTTACATTCACTGTAATTATCGACAAGTATGAATTTGTTGCTGTCATTTGTTAAGTTTTTTTTTTTCCCTAGTGTTGCTGATTTCTAAGTTCCATATCATCTTCTGTGCTGAGCCCATTATGTTTATGAATCATGTTATCATTTCCTTCTTTGCTGTTATTTTAGTGTTTGCTAAATATTTGTGCTTGTCCTCTTTTTCATTTTGATGATAAGGTTTATTATTTTTCCTTGAGGTTACCCTGTGATTTATAATTTTCTTCCCAAGTTTAGAACAGTCTGTTCTGTCTTGCAATTGTCTTGACTTCCTAACCATCAATAAGTTCTGTAACGACACTATTTTTTCCCTCTTTTTTGGTTTGTAGTTGTCCTCATTTGACAATTGATGTCTCTGGTTTTCTGTTTACATTCTTGTAAGCTTATTTTACTTTGGCTCCTTCCATACTGGCTTGCTTTTTGGGTTATGTTATCATATATGTTAATGATCAGTTGTTGTTTGCTACTGTTGGTTTTCTGTCCAAAGGACTTCCTTTAGCATCTCTTGTAAGATTGGTCTGGTTTTAATTCCCTTAATTTCTGCTTACCTGGGAAAGTCTTAATTTCACCATCATATTTGAGGGACAGTTTTGTTGAGTATATAATTCTTGGTTGGACATTTTTTTCTTTCAGGGTTTTATATATACCATCCCACTGCCTTCTTCCTTGCATGGTTTCTGCCAAGAAATTAGAGATTACTCTCCATAGTTGCACTTTGTAGGTAACTTTTTGTTTCCCATGCTGCTTTCAGAATTCTTTCTTTGTCTTTGGTTCTGATAAGTTTGACGATGGTATGTCTTGGTGATTTTCTTGTGGAGTCTATCCTGTTTGGGGTTCATTGGACTTCTTGAATGGATATATCCTTGTCTTTCATCATATCAGAGTAATTCACCTCCAACAAATCTTCAACAATTTTCTCTATGGTTTTATTTGTCTCTTGTTGTTCTAGAATACTGATTAGTCATAGGTCATTCCTCTTGATGATATGCCACATAAATCATAGACTTTCTTCATTTTGTTTTGATCTTTTTTCTAATTGATCCCTTACCAAAGTAGTATTGAGGTATTTATCTTCAGTCTCACTAATTCTGTTTTCCATTGATTTGATTCTACTCCTTTGCCCATTCAATGTGTTATCTATTTCTGAAATTTTAGGATTAATCTTCTGGATTTCTATCTGTAGAGTTTGTATCATTTCTAATTTTTCATTTATTTTATCATTTTGTTCTTGTATTATCTTCCCAAATTGTTCTGAGATCTTTAACTTCCTTATATCACAAATACCATCTCTCTGAAAAGGATAAAATTCACACAATACCAGGGATTAGGATTTGGACATGTCTTTCTGGGGCCACCATTAACACTATGAGGGCAGTAGTTATTCTGTGGTAGAATTTGTACCTTCCATGTGGGAGACCCAAGTGTGATTCCTGGCTACTACTCCTCAAGTGCAGTCACTACTTGTGTGTCACTGGAGGCTTGTGTGTTGTTGTGATGCTGAACACATTTTAGCAGCACTTCCAGATTAAGGTACACTAGGAAGAAAGGCCCAGCAATATACTTATAAAAAATCATCCAGTGAAAACCTTATAGATTCACAATAGTCCGATCCCATTGTGCATGGGGTCTCCATGATTTGGGGACCAATTTGACAGCAGCTAACAACAATTAACATTAAACCCTACAAAGGAGGGTCTTAATAGTTTTCAAATCATCAAAGTAATTTGTACTACTCCTTTCAATCTGCCTCTTTCTGTCTTCCAATTAGAGATACTATGTGGCAAGCTCTCGGCAGATTCGGCGGTTAGCAGGAGCATCCCGCTCTCCTGTCATTTCCCACTTTAGTGAGACTTTATCAGGAGTGTCCACAATCAGAGCATTTGGACATGAACAGAGGTTCATCCAACAAAACAAAGAGGTGGTGAATGAGAACTTAGTCTGTTTCTACAATAACGTAATTTCAAACAGGTAAGACGGGCAGTCACATCAGTACACCTAGAGCAAGCCCAGTCTCTTCTTAAATATCTTTTCCCTGACTTCTAAGTATAAGAGGTGTTTTGAAATAGCATTTAATTAAAAAATAAATATATAAGGCCTTAATTATTTTCTAGTACTTAATATGTACCAAAACAAAACAAAACAAAACAAAAACCTCAACACCATTGAGTTGATTCAACTCATAGCGATCCCTCCTTGGGTTTCTATAAAGGTAGATTGCCCAATATTCCTTCTGAGGAGTGGCTGGTGGGTTTGAACTGCCAGCCTTCTGGTTGACAGTCAAATGCCTTAGCCACTACACCACCAGAACTCAAATTTTAATAATTATATAATATTTTGAATTTGAAGTCATAATTTCATATAAAGGAGGAAGAGTAACCATTAAATATATTAGTAATTAAGCATATTTCAATGTCTACAGGCCAATTTAATCATATTAAACAAGTGTATGTAATTGGAGTATAATTTATTTTCCAATAGGTTTTTTAAATTTCAGTGCATAATTTTAGCTAATGTTCTTTTATTTTGCTTTTTAATTGTAATTAAATTATAAGTAAAAACTCTGTAAAAGTAAAATGCATTTTTTATGCAGAGAATCTTTTATTCCACATTGAGACAATCTTGTGTTTGATGAAGTTCCAAGTAAGGGTGACAATAAAGAAAGTGCTGTCAATGTATACTTGGCAATTCCCTGAAGAGCATCTACTAAGTGCATCAAAACCTCTGTACCTCAGTTACTTAGGAATGCATTCCATTTATTACAGGTGGCTGTCTTTTAGACTTGAATTCCTTGGCAACATAATGGTATTCTTTGCTGCACTGCTGGCTGTGCTGGCTGGCAATTCCATAGATTCAGCAATAGTTGGTTTGTCCATATCCTATGCCTTAAATGTAAGTAATAATGCTTTTGTGGTACATGGTATGTTTATACTCCAATTAATTAAAACTCTTCTCCTGTGCCAGTCTGAATTATAGATTGTATTCACTAAGTAAGTAGAGACAAAGCTGGATTACTCTAGAGGCTCGTTTCTTTCTCTCTTATAATAGCTGCTGGAAGTTGGCTCAGCAGTTCTGAACACACAGAAAGAACAGTCTGATACCCAAGGCTAAGCAATGATGACCAGGAATTTTCTGCTGTTACATAGTTACTCTGAAGTTCCCTGGTCCCCAGTCCCTAGACACATAGATGTTAAAGGGCTAGGGGCCCTCTCCACTGTGGCATGGCCATCTAGCTCTGCCCAGCCTAAGCATAAAGATAATGGGAGCTCTGGGGAGAGTATACAGTCTGCTTCATCTCTGCTTATAAGTTTTTCCCTTATTACCTCTATTTTATATTTACACTGCAAGGCCCTAGGGGTATGTGTGTTTTTATGAGCCCTTTGTACAATATCAAGTTCCTTAAACTGCTTAATGCAATTCCACATGACCTAACAATTGTTTTAGAAGATAAGTCTAGATGATTTTGATGTCTTATCTTAATCCATTATCCAATACACTTGAGGCTAGCTGTATTTCAGAATTCAGAGCTTCAGCTCTTAGAAATATGATGCGGATACATCTGTAAGGTGTGAGGCAGTCCCCTGTAAAAAAAAAATCATTACTGTTTCTGCAGTGCAGTGTGTGAATATGCATGCTAAATGGGTTAAATAAACACTTTAAAGAGCCTCATGCCTTTTAAAGTCAGGTTGGCCACCAAGTAAGTTGGTACCAAACATGAACAACTTTGCACTATCAGAGCTTTCTGGTTTTCAGAATTACATTTGAAGTGGCAATATTTTTGGCATATGTACATTTGGGGGTAGGGTGAGAAGAAAGAAGAGTTTAAAGGAAAGTTACAAGAGGAGTCAGAAATTTAGGAGACTCTTACTTCTGATGGATGATAGTGGAGAACACCAAATGTAATGCTATTTGTACACTATTTTTTTTTCTTATTTAGATGTACATTTCTTTAGCAATAGGCCATCCACTTTGGTATTCACCATTTCTTACACCAAGTATCGAGTCCTTTAAAATATGTTTGAATTATATTTATTCTATCTACTTCCAAATAATTCCATTGTTTATAATATTAATGAGTTCACTGTGCTTACATACTTATATGTGCGTGCATATGTTAATGTACTTCTAAGTTTGTCTAATAATTAAAAGGGATAAAATCCTGAAAACCTTGAATAATAAAATAAAATATCATTAATATTATGTAAAAGACTAAAAAATATACATTATGTGCTCATGCTTTATTTGTTTCTTTATTTGCTTTTCCCAAGATTACTCAGTCTCTGAATTTTTGGGTAAGAAAAGCATGTGAAATTGAAACCAATGCAGTTTCTATTGAAAGAGTTTGTGAATATGAAAATATGGATAAGGAGGTAAGCATTCCTAACTAACCAATAAGTGGACATAAGATTAAAATATTTGAATGTACCTTGAATTGACATGAATTTTAAACAAAAGTTGCATTTCTAAATTTATGTTATCATATGCAGTATAAAATGCATTCTATTTTATATACCACTAAAATAGGGGGTGGGGGGGAAGACACTGCCAATTAAATTAAGACACTCCATAAATTGTAAGACACATCCTTATTTCAGTGATATTATAAAAATAAAATATAATAACCTATCATTAAAAGGCACAGTGATTTGTCCTCTGTGGCTGTAGGGTAAAATATGCAACCTATGTTTATAACTTTGTCGGGATTGTATATTAAGGAAAGTGTCTTTATAGACATCTCATAATTATTTAGAGTCTGATTGCACAATTTTTAAATTAACTACACACTTAATACTTTCATATTCAGTTCCATTATCTCATCATTAGCATGTCTGTGGATGGGAAGTAGGAGGAGAATAAATTACTCTGTTTTGTTTCCTTTAATTAACTGCAATTTGGGAGGTAGAAGAATTAGACTATTGATGGAGTACAATATATCAATTATCTAAACACTTTACTCACCTAGATTGCTTCTGCCTCCCACCTCCTTGAGTTAACAGGGCAGATGGCAAAGGTTACTTGAACTATTTCACTTTCTATACCTTCTTCAATTCAACTATGAAGGTATCTAAATATTTATGAAACATTCCTCTTTCATATCTCTGAGGATGAATGTCCCTGTTCCAAGTAAAAAGTTAACAACTTCACTTGTATTCTTAATAGAACCTCTTCATTTTCTCTCTAAGTCTTTATTCTATTTACCCCTTCCTACATCTTAACCCCCAACTCCTTGCTTCCCTCAGGCTATTAGTATGCTCAGTTATTTTCTATGTCCTCAAAATCCTCCTTGGATTTGAATCCTTCTCTAGATTTTGCCTTGCCTTTTCAGACAAATGTCATGAAAGTTTAGTCAACCATCACAATCTCCAGTTCCCACTATTTAATTTGCCCAGATTATTGCTCTTCTGGTTACCTAGTATAGCTCTGACAAGATTATACCATAAATGGGATGGCCTTAACAAACAGGAGTTTATTCCCTTACAGTTTGAAAGCTTTAAGTCTGAGTTCAAAGTCCCAGGCTCTAGGGGCTAGGTGAAAGCCCCTCAATCTTAGGGTCCAGTTCTGCCTCCTGCTCCCAGCCCACTGGAGCTGGAGGCTTTTCTTCACTCAGTTGCTGGCTGCTGAGGCTGACAAATGCAAGGTTGACAAAGGAAAAGGCACAGTCCCGATGTTACCAAACCACATGGCAGGCCATTAATTCAAGTCCATTAAAAGTCTCAAGATTGTCATAGCATGGGCAGGCTGCTGAACAACGACTCACTTACATGCAAGGTTCAAGCGTGCCATAAGCTAGAGACCATCCGCAAAGATGTTTCTTATATAGTGGAAGCAGACCACATCCCTAAAGCAGTTACTCAACTGCTCCAATAGATTCCACCATGGAGTTAATCACCAATTTTACCATGGGGAATACTATATCCAGCTGCCCGGCCATTCACCCAGGCCCAACCAAGTTGACACACACACTTAACTACCACAATTGCCATCTGAAAAAAACCTTGCTGGCACAATGGTTAAGCACTTGGCTCTTAACTGAAAGGTCAATGTTCAAACCACCAATCACTCTATGGGAGAAAGATGTGGCAATCTGCCTCTGTAAAGCTCACAACCTTGGAAACTATAGAGCAGTTCTTCTCTCTCCTCTAGGGTTTTTAATAACTTAATAGAATACAAGAGGCCTTATCACCTCAAAAAATTACTTCTAAGATTGTCTTATAACTAGATGAGAAGTTTTATGTTGGAAATATTTATAACTATTTTTAGAAATAATAATTATCAATACTGTCTTTCATCATTTATCCCCACTTTTTGTTTAAATGCATGAAAATTAGGGTTGTTTGAGGGGTAGAAGATATTTTTTTATTGTAATTATGGTTCCAAAAATGTTGTTTTGTTTTAAGGCACCCTGGATAATGTCTAGAAGGCCTCCACCACAATGGCCCAGTAAAGGCATAGTAGAGTTTATTAATTATCAGACTCGATATAGAAATGATCTTGGTTTAGCATTACAGGATATCACTTTCCGGACTCATGAGGAAGAGAAGGTACTATATATATTTTATATATTTCACTCTCCCTTTTACCTGAATAAATCATTGTTTAGGTGAAAGTATAATATGGCATTGATATAAAATGACATTTTTATGTGATTTCATATAAAAGTAATAAAAACATGGTTGTTGTGTAAGGAATAAGATTTCCTTCAATAAAGAAAAAAAGTATTTTTTAAGTTGCTCATACATTATTGTGAGAAATGGTTACATAGTGTGTAAGACATTTGACTATTAACCAGAAGGCTGGTGGTTCAAACCCACCAGCCACTCCTCAGAAGAAAGATGGGTCAATCTACTTCTGTAGTGATACTGCCTCGGAAACCCAAGGAGGGGTCACTATGAGTTGAATCCAACTTGACGGCAATGAGTATCAAGTGAATTACAACAATAAGATAATGTTACCTAAAATTCCTAAAATCCAAAGGATGAAATATTTATATAGCCAATAATGTAATTTTTCCAAGACTATTTATTTTAATGTGATAAGGAAGTGGTTGATATGTAATTTAGTAAATAAAAGCTGCCTGCAAAACTTATGATGGTATGGTATGAGTTTTGGGTTTTAAAAAAGTAAGCAGATACACACATAAGGAAAATACTAGAATAATAGTTATAAAACAGTGGTTCTCTTTAAGTGACAGAATTTCAGATGACTTTTATTTTCTTATTACTTTTCTACATTTTCCAAAGTGTTTCACAAAAACACATTCAGCATTTCTCAAACTGAAAAAACTGAAGAAAAAATTGAAGCCTCGAGTTGCAATATTGAGAGATTCTATGGGCAAAATATTGAATGGTGCAGGAAACATCAAGAGAAGATGGCAGGAATACACAGAGTCACTGTACCAAAAAGAACTGATCGATCTTCATCCATTTCAGGAAGTGGCATATGATCTAGAACCAATGGTAATGAAGGAAGAAGTCAAAGCTGCAATGAAAGAACTGGTGAAGAACAAGGCTCCGGGAATTGACGGCATACCGATTGAGATATTTCAACCGACAGATGCCCCATTGGAGGCACTCACTCAGTTATGCCAAGAGATTTGGAAGACAGCTACCTGGCCAACTGACTGCAAGAGATCCATATTTGTGCCCATTCCAAAGAAAGGTGATCCCACAGAATGTAGAAATTATAGAACAATATCATTAATATCACATGCAAGTAAGATCTTACTGAAGATAATTCAGAAATGTTTGCAGCAGTATATTGATACAGAACTTCCAGAGGTTCAAGCCGGATTCAGAAGAGGACGTGGAACAAGGGATATCATAGCTATTGTCAGATGGATTTTGGCTCAAGGCAAAGAATACCAGAAAGATGTTTACTTGTGTTTTATTGACTATGCAAAGGCATTTGATTGTGTGGATCATGACAAATTATGGATAACATTGAGAAGAATGGGAATTCCCGAGCACTTGATTGTACTCATGAGGAATCTGTACCTTGACCAGGAGGCTGTCATTCGAACAGAACAAGGGGACACTACATGGTTTAAACTCAAGAAGGGAGGGCATCAGGGTTGTATTCTTTCTCCACACTTATTCAATCTATATGCTGAGCAAATAATCCGAGAAGCTGGACTATATGAAGAAAAACGTGGTATCAGGATTGAAGGAAGAATCATTAACAACCTGAGATATGCAGACGATACAACTTTGCTTGCTGAAAGTGAGGATGACTTAAGGCACCTACTGATGAAGGTTGAAGAATACAGTCTGCAGTATGGATTACATCTCAACATAAAAAAAAAAAAAATCCTCACAACTGGACCAATGAGCAGCATCACAATAAATGGAGAGAAGATTGAGTTTGTCAAAGAATTCACGTTGCTTGGTTCTACAATCGATGCCAATGGAAGCAGCAGTCAGGACATTAGATGACATGTAGCATTGGGAAAGTCAACTGCGAAGGAACTGTTTCAAGTGCTGAGGAGCAAGGATATCTCCTTGAGGACTAAGGTGCGCCTGACACAAGCCATGATATTTCCAATCACCTGGTATGCATGTGAGAGCTGGACAATGAATAAGGAAGACCGAAGAAGAGTTGATGCTTTTGAGTTGTGGTGCTGGTGAAGAATGCTGAAAGTACCGTGGACTGCTAAAAGAACTAACAGATCTGTCCTGGAGGAAGTGCAGCCAGAATGCTCCTTGGAAGCAAGAATGGCCAGACTTCGTCTCACCTATTTTGGTCATGTTGTAAGAAGGGACAATTCCCTGGAGAAGGATGTCATGCTTGGTAGGGTGGAGGGTCGATGAAAGAGGGGGAGGCCTCAAGGAGATGGATTGATACGGTGGCTGCGATGATGGGCTCAAGTATAGCAGGGATTATGGGGCTGGTGCGGGATTGGGCAGTATTTCGTTCTGCTGTGCATGGGGTCGCTATGGGTCGGAAACGATTCGACGGCACTTAACAACAACAACAACATCCTATGTATCCCTTTCTCAGAGCTCTTTTATAACCCCAAATGTCCACTTTTTGAACCCTCTGAGCCAGGTGCAAGGAGCCCTGGTGGCATAGTGGCTAAGCACTCAGCTGCTAACTGAAAAGTCAGAGGTTCAAACCCACTAGTTGTTATGTGGGAGAAAAATGTGGTAGTCTGTATCCATAAAGATTACAGTTTTGGAAAATCTGTGGGCAGTTTTAGAAACTCTGTGGGCAGTTTTACTCTGACCTGTAGAATTGCTGTGAGTTGGAATTGAATCAATAACAATGAGTTTGGGTTTTTTGGAAGCCATGTCCATAGCAGTAATCTCAGGGATAGAAATCTTTTCAGAATGAATGAAATTATTCTGGAATTTTAATTACCCCAATTCATTCAGCACCCTCGATAGTTTTGATGCAATAGTCCTTTGATATTCCAGGGAAATTTTCAGGCATTCTTTTGGATTTTCTAGCCTCTCTGCCAAAGGGTTCTGGTCCTCTTTCTTTGCTTGCTTGCCTGCTTGTTTTGATGGGAAAGAAGGAAGAGAAAGCTCCCTGATTAAAGTCCTATTAATATCATCGTATTGCTAGTGCCTCTTTTACCTCCACCCTTTGTGGCTAGTCCAGAGATAGTTCATGTATGATTACTCTTTCTGAGGCTGTTGGGGTTATCTTACATGGTAATTTGATTTGTCCCAGCCAAGAGGAAAAACAGATATAAGCCAGAGCCTTTCCAGTGGGTAGACAGTATCTGGGTTGAAGGCTGATACTTAGAAGTCACATTACATCTTCTGGTACAGTCAAAGATTATTCTACTTGACAAAATTAAATTTTACTGACCCAATACCTAACATATTTACTGTTGGTTGCAAAAGTCCCCTTCTCTCACAAAAATTATAGTGGTAACTATTTATAATCATTTAATTACAGATTGGAATTGTGGGAAGGACTGGAGCAGGCAAATCAACACTATCAAATTGCTTGTTTAGAATTATAGAGAGATCAGGAGGCAAGATTATTATTGATGGTATTGACATTTCAACGATTGGACTACATGACCTTCGTGGCAAACTTAATATTATTCCACAGGTAAAGCCTTTGCAGTAGTCTTCCCTAGCTCACTCCAGATGGTCTTCCTCTTATTTTTTAAATTGTTCCTTCTAAGCCTATATATCCATTTTGGATATATTTTTAAATATGTTATGAAAAATTACTGTGTAATTGAATCCTATTAAAGGCTTTACTACAAAGCATTCTTCTTAAGGGCATTTATCTGTTGACATACAAGTACATCTCTTTGAAACTTTCCTTTATAATACTAAGTATAAATACAATTTGAATAAAGTTATTAGAATAAAACACTGATTTTTTGGGAAAAAAAAAATTACTGAGGCTTTTGTTTGGTTAAAGGAGCCCTAGTGGCACAGTGATTAAGCACTAGCCTTCTAACCAAAAGGTTGGTGGTTTGAACCCACCAGTCACTTCACAGGAAAAAGTTGTGCATGTCTGCTCCCATAAATATAAATAGCCTTGGAAACCCTATGAAGTAGTTCTACTCTGTCTTGTAGGGTCAATTGCTGTGAGTGGGAATCCACACAATGGGAATGGGGTTTGCTTAGTTGGTGCTTTACATGTAAGATTTTGACTCTTCTATACTTAAGGAAAAGAGTTCTGGTGGTGCAGTGCCTAAGGCATTTGATTGGTAACCAGAAGATTGATGGTTCAAACCCACCAGCTTCTCTGTGGAAGGAAGACAGGTCAATGTACTCCAGTAAAGATTTATTGCCTTGGAAACCCAATGGGGGTTGCTATGAGTTGGAATTGACTGGATAGTGTGGTTTGGTTTATACATAAGGATATGGACCCTGGTGGCTCCAGTGGTTAAATGCTTGACAGCTAACTGAAAGGTTGGCAGGTGGAACCCACCAGCCATTCTGTGGGAGAAAGATGTGGCATTCTGCTCCTGTAAAGATTATAGACCTGGAAACCTTATGAGGCAGTTATACTCTATCCTAAAGCGTCATTAATGAGTTGGAATTGACTTACCAGCAATGAGTTTTTGGGTGTTGGTGTAGTTGAGGCTTAGGGACATAAAAGGAAAAGGACAATAACTCAGCTAGGTCTTTTTTCTCAAGCCTTTTGATTTGTTCATCTCTGAAATCAAAGAAAATTATCATTAACAAGTATGGAAATTGACTCGAGTATGCCTGTAACATAAAAAAATGACTTATTCAATTGAATTTAAGAGACTTTACCTATTTTCTGAGCATTTGTACAATACCTTTATAATATCTTTTAAAAATACCTCAATACCAAAATCTCTTTGTCATATGGTAAGAATGGCATATACTTGTATTAATGAATTTATTTGAAACAAATTTGAATAAAATCTGGAATTCTAGCAAAGAAAATTTTAGTGGAGAAAAGAGACATTAGTTATTCCTCACATAAATAAACACATGTAGTAGTATATTGTTTCACAAGGCATCTTGTTATAGTAGAAAGAGTATGGAAATAGTCCCCTTTAAATTCTTTTCAAGTGCTTACCTTCTGTGTGGCACAAGATAAGAGCTCTTTGGAATCTCTATCTCAGTGTCTGTTAAATGGAGATATTAATATCTGTCTTTCTGGGTCAGTGTGCTTATTAGTAATATTCAAGACAAACTATATATTATCCACCACTTGTCTGTCACTTTGTTGTAGTGGGGTGGCTTGCACATTGCCATGATGATAGAAGAAATGCCACTGGTATTTCAGATACCAGCAGGGTTACCCATAATGGACAAGTTTCAGTGAGCTTCCAGACTAAGACAGAATATAAAGAAGCATCTTGTGACTTCTTCCTTAAAATAATAATAATAATAATAATGGCTAGTGATATTGATACTAGTTTGATATAATGCCAGAAGATGAGCCCCTCAGGTTGAAAGGCACTCAACATATGACTGGGGAAGGGCAGCCTCCTGAAAGTAGGAGTAAAAGACATGGGTGGAGTAAAGCTTTTGGGACCTTCATTTGCTGATGTGGCATGACTCAAAAGGAGAAGGACCAGCTGCTAACATCCATTTTTCATAATCAAAACAGGAAGATATGAAGTGTGAATCTAGGAAAATTGAAAGTTTTCATAAGTGAAATGGAGCACTTGAAGATAGATATCCTAGGTATTAGTGACCTGAAATGAGCAGATATTGGCCATTTTTAATCAGACAATCATGTGATCTGCTTATGGTGGAAATGACAAATGGATGAAGAACAGTGTCACATTCATTGCCAAAAAGAACATTTCAAGATCTATCCTGAAGTACAATGCCATCAGTGATAGAATAATTTCCATATATCTACAAGAGAGGCCATGTAATGCAACTATTATTCAAATTCACACAAAGAACCACTAAAGCCAAAGATGAAGAAATTGAAGATTTTTAAGAACTTCTGGAGTCTGAAATTGATCACACATGCACTCAAGAGGCATTGATAATTACTTGCATTTGGAATGTGAATTTTAGAACCAAAGAAGAAGGATCAGTAGTTGGAAAATACGGCTTTGTGATAGAAACAATGTTGGAGATTCCATGGTAGAATTTTGTAAGACCAACAACTTATTCATTAGAAATACCTTTTCAACAACATAAACAGTCCCTATATACGTGAACCTCACCAGATGGAATACACAGGAATCAAACTGACTGTATTTGTGAAAAGAAATTATGTTGTTATTAGGTACTGTTGAGTCATTTCCGACTCATAGTGACCCTATGCACAGCAGAATGAAACACTGCCTGATCCCATGCCAGCTCCATGATCCTTGTTATACTTGAGACCATTGTTGAAGCCACCATATCAATCCCATCTCGTTGAAGACCTTCACCTCTTTCGTCGACCCTCCATCTTACCAAGCATGACATCGTTCTCCAGAGAACAGTCCCTTCTGACAACATGACAAAAGTAGGTGAGGCAAAATGTGGCCATTCTTGCTTCCAAGGAGCATTTGGGCTGCTCTTCCTCCAGGACAGATCTGTTAGTTTTTTTAGCAGTCCGTGGTACTTTGAGTATTCTTCACCAGCATCACAACTCAAAAGCATCAACTCTTCTTTGGTCTTCCTTATTCATTGTCCCGTTCTTACATGCATAGAAGGTGATTGAAAATATTATGGCTTGTATCAGGCACAACTTAGTCCTCAAGGAGACATCCTTGCTCCTCAGCACTTGAAAAGAGTTCCTTTGCAGCCGACTTACCCAGTGCTATATACAGGGATTGTCTAATGTCCTGATTGCTGCTTCCATTCTCATTGATTGTAGAACCAAGCAATGTGAATTCTTTGACAAACTCAATCCTTTCTCCATTTATAGTGATGTTGCTTATTGGTCCAGTTGTGAGGATTTTTGTTTTCTTTATATGGAGATGTAATTCATGCTGCAGACTGTATTCTTCAATCTTCATCAGTAAGTGCCTCAAGTCATCCTCACTTTCAGCAAGCAAAGTTGTGTCATCAGTGTATTGCAGGTTGTTAATGATTCTTCCTCCCATCCTGATGCCACATTTTTCTTCATATAGTCCAGCTTCTCGGATTATTTGCTCAGCATATAG